TTTGTACAAATCAAGCTGAACCAGCTTTTCTGCCAGTTTGCAGATCTCTGCAAACCTTTTAGATTGACTGATGTTCCAAGAAAGATTTCAGATGCTCCTGTCAGACTTAGTGCCAGCTCTCAGCTTTAAAGTCCTAGGATTGCAGGAATTTCAGCTATTGCTTTTTTCTTTTTTAAAGGTTGCTTTCTAGACCACTTGCTTGTAAAGAAAATACTGACAGTGTCACCTGTAAGAAACAGATGGCAATTAATTTATTTTAAAATAATGTAGGCATCAAGCTATTCTCAAGAAACCTACACTTTGAACAGTGGGAGATGATAAATCAAATTGGAAACTTATATTTTCTTTCTTCATTGATGCTCAGTAAGTGCTTTTTTTTCTCCTCACATGAATTCTGTCTTTTCACTCAGAACCCTCTAACAGAATCCTCGCTAACATTCAGTTCATTTTCTTAGCTGTCAGCTCATTTATATAACTGTATTTCCAATATACTTTAAAGACTAAAGTATATAGTATAAAGTATATATTAAAGATTCTGTGTAGTTAGCACATTTGACTGAAAACATCATAATTTATGACTATTTATCTAATTTTAATGTCTTTTTTTCTATTACTTAACCCAGTAGTCCATCAAATAATATACAGCCAATATTAAAGTTGACAAAAAAATAAATTATGTTTTGAGTCTTTCATATGGATTTTAGACAGGATACTTTGGTTTTCCTATCTTATCCCTTTCTCTGATATAATTCGGAAGGCATTATTTCACTTTTTCAAACTCTGTATCTACCGGTGACTGCATTCTGTCTCACTAGTGTTGTTCAGTACTGCCCAGGAGCATTACCTTCCGTTTCCCTTTTTTCTTCTTTGTTTGTTACTTAGCACTTTTAGGACACTGATCATCACGCATAATTTGAATACTACTTATACTGTTTCGCAAAATCATAAAAGTGACCAGCATTAAAAGTTGGTGAGTAGCTAACCTCAGGCAAGAAAGTAAATAAAATTCCCTAAATTTCTGAGATCAGCTGGAGCTGGAGTCTGTACAGCCACCTTTAGGCTGTACTACCACCCATCGGCTTAAAGTAGAATCAACAAAAGCAGTAGAGTGGACACAGCCTCGACTCTGCTGTTGCAGCACAGCCTGCCACAGGGACCTAGCTCCTACAAGGCTGTGAATCCTAACAGTTGAAGACTCCTCATTCCTGATGGATTTAGCTGCAGTGGCTAGAAAGATTACCAACCCCCATTATGGTGCTCTTTGACCATAGCTAAAACTGACAGGGATTTTTGCTTTTCAAGGCAGGGCTTCTGTCTGGGCATATGGGATCTTCTCGGTAGCTGGTCCAAGACTAGAATTTTTTCTATGAAAACTGAGAGAGTTTAAGTGTCATCACTTTTTTTTTTTTTTTTTTTTTTTTTTTGTAAGGGAACCTTAAAATATTTACCATTTTCAAATGTAAAGTTCTCTTCATAGGTGTAGATACAAGCAATCTTGCTCTTCTTTCTCATTCTGAAAGGTGTTTCACTCAGGATCTCTCTCTACAGCTCATGATCTTAGTCTCTGGAAACAGTTCCTGTGCAGGATGGAATCCAAATTAAGTTTGTTACTGATATCTTAGTATTGCAGGTAAAACTACTCAACCTTGAAGGTTATTGTCAGCAGAAGTAATGAACTGCTATGGGTTTTGATAACATCAAAGTAGTCCAGTACATCTTTAAATCTTTAAACAATTTGATATTTTATTTGGTCAGATAAATCACCAAGTCTGTTTCTTTTCATGTCGCTAATATACATACTTCTATAAATCCTTTAGGCTTTAGAGCACCTGCAGGAGCATTGCTCAAGAGTCAAGCAAAATGCATAGGTCCAAAAATAATTAAATACAAATATCAATCTTCATGTGCCTACTTGAGGCACAGTTTGTCATATAACTAAATATTTAGGTAAGACAGATCGCATTGATTTTTGCCCAGGAGCTATGAAAAATGTAGACCTTTAACATTCAGTCCATCCTGCATGCCTTGAGAATGGAGATTTTGTTGTATGTCTACATACATCTTGCAGTAAGCAGGTATCTCTTAGTAAGCTGCAGCATTAGTTTCAATTAGACACTCGTCTAAAATGTACCTGTAAGATGTAACATATAACATGCAATTATAAGAATATAAAAGCTTTTAGCATTATCCTTGCTAGGATAACTTTAACATTTTTCCTTCATGTCACAGGAAAAGTAAGATTTGGGTGTAGGCTCTTTGTTGATACTAAGCATTAGCTCGTTTCAAACACTCTCTAACCAACCTTCAGCAGCTTGGCTCGTTAAACATAATGTCTTCCTTTACATCAGTTCGATCTGAAGAGCTCCTCGTGTTAAAAACAGGTAACGGAGCACTATTGTTACTGGCTTTGTATCTTGGATCTCAAGCGAGAAAGATAAATGCTGTACAGAGAAAGATAGAAGTACAGCTTTCTGGGTGTATGAATATCGGTATCAGTGGATTTAGATTTTATTTCAGCTGGCAAAACCAGTAAATATTGAGCCTAATTTATAATAGTTATTACCGGGTTTACACCGTAATACAAGATAACAACAGCAGACAGAATAAAGGAGTATTCTGTGAGTCTTTCTTTACTGAATGTGAACACTTGGGATTTTTTTTATGCTATTCCTGCTTGGTGAGACTGACCACGAGCAAAGAGACAGACAAGGTAGTACGGACTCAACAGCAGGGTGCATGCGTGGATCTTGCCAGTACTGGGAGAACGCCTTAATTTTATAACTTTTCTAGACTACAGTTCACAGATGAACTGTGACCTTGTTATTCGGTACCATGCATTAAAAAAAAACCCAGAATTTATTTATTGTATGTATTTTTATAGCATTTTCTTAATAAATCTTCCATGTACTCTCCATTATTTTCAATAATAAAAATATTTTGGAGCACTTCCAACAAAGAACTATACTAACTATAGGAATTGCATGATTTTTGTTTGTGGTGTGCTTTGAAGATAGAACTTACATTTTCCGTGCAACTGTTTAACATAAACACCCACTTCGGAATATGTATTTTTTTTTTCTTAATATGAACAATATTGCAAGACAAATACTCAGCTGGATAAACTTGCTGAGATTGTTATATTTGAATATTTTAAATTATATCATCTGTTTAAAAATAACTGTATTTCAGCTCCCTTCAGCAGAGGGCAAAGTTGTTATTTAAGTGGTTGATTCATTTAATTAGAAAGTTGTTCTAAAGTTACTTTAATATTTTTTGCAATGTCAGTATCAGTGTGTCTAAGAGTACTTGGCCATAGCCAAGCTAAGTTATAGGTATGTCATTTCATTAGATTTCACTGACGAGTGAATAGCCTTTGAGGATTATTTATGCATACTCAGAAATGTACCACACCTTTTGGAAATGCAACTGTTGCTGCAGTGGAACATCTAAATAGTGAAATATTTAAGTAAGGAGTATGGGAGGGGAACCCTTCTTCAAAGCTAAACGTCTGTTACTTTCTGCGTGTTGACACATAATTATTTTTCTAGACTCTTTATGTTAACACTCAGGTAAGTTTCACATTTGAACTGCTTTTGGAGCCTACTGATTTTGACTTCACCATCTTTGTTTTACTTTTTACTAAATGTTGCTTCAGATACTGTTTAGAACCTGGTCCCTGCTGCTAGTGGGACACGAGACCATCTGGGTTTCAAAGCTTTATCTATTAATATAGAATCCTTGCTATACAACTTCATACCTCTTTCTGTGCTTGCAACACAAACTCAGCAGACAAGTTGTTGTTCCTTTAATGCATTCCTTATTGCTCTGAAAATTGAGTTTTGGGTATTTGTAGTAAGTTATATTGCCAGTAAAACAGCAGTGGTAAAATTGTTGTTCAGAAAAACACAATTTAAGATTAACACCCACTAGATATTGTATGAGGCTGCATGCAAAAAGGTTCTTAGAAACAACGGTGCCGTTCAATACTGTCAGGTGAAATGCAAGACCACACCAGGGGTTAGCTAGCTATTAGTTTATTGATGATATACTGGCACTGTAACCAGCGTGGGAGCCCCAGCAGCCACACGGAGGGTTGGGAGGGAAAGGCGGACAGTCTGGTCAGGCGCCTGATCCGGCCCGATCCGTCCCTGCCTCAAGACACTTTGTCTTTTTGGCAGCAGGTTATATACATCTCATGCCCACCCGGTTACACTTCAAACAACAAAATGCTGCAATAATTAGAAGCTCAGGTCACTGTGACCTGATGATCATCAGTGGGAGCAGGATCTTTCCTTTGTGAACTGGGACAAGATCACGTGCATCGAGCCGCGTCCTCGACTCCTCGCTGATCTTCCAAGTCCTCCCCTTGCAACTTGTACTTCCCAACGTGGTGCGCTGCTCTGTACAAACTGCAGGGAGCAGGTTCCAAAATGTGAAGTAGATGATTTTATGCATAGTTTTTTCTTTCACCTCAATCAGTGCATTAGGAAAAAAAAAAACAAACGACAAAACACCCTTGCGGTATAGCTATTTATACTTGCAGCAGCATAGATATGTGTTAAAAGATTTATTTATAAAAGTATGTTTCCTATTATTTCCCCATTTAAAAAAAAGAAAAACAAAAATCTAATCCACAAGTATTCTTAAATTCCTTCCCAAATACAAACTGAAACTTTATACTGTGCTTTAGGAAGACTTTTCAAATAAAGTATGCAAACAAAAATTACCTGAAAAATACTGCCTCAAGGAAGACAGTAAGAATCAGAATGGCAATATGCCATTGATAATGCTCAGAAATGCAGCTATTCTGAGGTTAGCATTTCTTTTGTTCACCCGGCTGTCTCTACTCTGGCTGATTCATATCAATGCCAAAGCAAAAATCATCAGTAAGGTGCTTCGTTAAGACACGGAAAATAGTCTTCAGTCTTGAAGAGGACTGGAGGTTCATAGAGGGTCTGTTGCTGTCGTGAAGCTGATTTCTGAAAATAAAAGATAAGTTTATTTTTCACCTTCTTAAAAAAACCAAGTTTTTAAAAAAAGCCTACAGAGCTAAAATGGAAAACAAAGTTTTAAAGGCACGTTTCCTTAGGTGAATTTTTAATCATAGCTCAGATGGGTCCGGCATATTCTTAACGTTAGTTAAGCCTTTGACTTCTGCCATTCTATCACCTGAACAGACTCAGTCCTGGAAAGTGTATGATATGCCAGCTCTGCAGGAGCCAAATGCGTAACCTGTTCCAGCTGATGGTATAGTCATTGTAACATTCATGCTTCCAAAGCCATACACCTTCACCTTTCCTGCTCTGGCTTGTGAGTTCTCCTCAGCTGCTTCCTTTGAGTTAACCCCAGCCTGTGTTCTCATTTACACATTTAACTCCTCTTCATGTGGAAACACACCTGGCAAATGTTTCTTCTGAGAAGGTTGCTGCTCCTGCTGAGCTTCTTCATCAAGTGTATGTTAGAACGTATATACTATGACATACTGTTAAAAAGAAGGTAGTAGACTGTAAAAAAGCTGTCACACTGTTTTTCAGGAAAAGCGTACATGTTTCTTTTAAATATTAGCTGTACACTGTTTTGCTATATCAAATGACTCATTTAAAGAGACAACAGGAAGGACCACGACTGACTTTACTTTTTTGCCTGTCTGGGATGAGGAAATTAGCCTTCACCAATAATAAAGTTAAAAGCATAGCAAGTATCGTTAGTATACTTGGAGTGTGGAACACTTTTACAATACCAAAATGAGGATATAATTAAGCATACCTACAAAACAGCTAAGTGGAATTTTCCCAACATTCAGTTGAGCCCTATACTTGTACTCCACATGAAGTAAGTACATATTCTCCTGTTGTATACAAAATTGCTGATTTATGACATTTAAATTATATTTGTCTTTAGCTTTACAATGCCATTAATTTCTCTGAAACAAGTTTGTTTTGCCATTCAAGTTGTAATGAAATAATAAACAAAGATCAGACCTATAAATAGAGGATATTATCAATGTTCTCTATATCAGAAATTTTGCAAAATGTGAAAAAAAAAAAAAACTTTGAAATCAAAGCTCTGTTTTTAAAAATTATTTCCTGTCCTGTACTGCCCTATGAGAAAACACCTTTCAAGCAAGGGAAACTAAGGTTACAGGTATTCTGCAGCTCGTGACACTGATTTAAGAGGCACTATGTTCACATATGTGCAAGAAGGGGATAATTTCAACCCAGCGGGGAAATTCATAGGTGTGCACAGTACCCACAGTTGCCTGAGTACACAATTATGATTAGCTAATTTTGCAGCTGCTTAGCAAACATTTTTACCTTTTGAGAGAGTCTACATCCTTAGTGATATTAGAAGTCTTACAGTACTGTACTTTACACTGCCTGGTATTCACAAGGGAAGAACTTGGGACAAAATCTGAAAGTGAGATTACAAATACACACCTTGAGAAATACAAAATATATCCTTTGTGTAAAGAAACAGATACATGTAAATGGGAAGAGAGCCAGGGGGCTTGCCTAAATGAAAACTGTAGCAGGAAAACATCAACTACAGCTACAGTGAAAATCATGACATCAGTATACCCTTCTTTTCCCAAGCACTGATATACTTGAGTGAGCTAGTTAAATGTTAGGCATGAGGAGAAATCTCTACAGCCATTTTCATTCAGACATATTTGTGTTTACTAGTGAAAATATGTATTTTACTATGCACTTCTCAGTACCACTGCAGAACAGTGGCCTCCCTTTCCGGTAATTAATTAATGCCAGGAAGTTCTGAGTGTTGATTTGATTGCTATCCATACTCAGAGCAAGAAACCACTGGACATGCCAGGTTCAGTTCGCTGCTATTTTCAAAGACTTCGCACCTTACTAATTGTGGAAAATCTGCAAAGCTGACAAAGTGTTCCCATGCAACACTAAAAAAGCACTTTCTTAGAACTTTCAAACTTTTCAACTGATGATTGTAATTCCATGGTTGACAACAGTTTTTAGCAACAAAATGTTGAATACTGTTGAATATTGTTCAAGGCAACTGCTGCGGTTGTTTGGTTTTGTAACTGGCCAATAAATAGCAGCTTTGTGTTGTTTGCTTTTTTTTTTTTTTTTCAAAAAAAGACATCATTCTAAACTTAAACACCAAAGAAAATGAAGGAATTTGAACTTAACTATCTTAAAGACTGCCCAGAAAACAGCAGTGAAGAACAGGTTTCCTAAACTGCATCTTAACAAGACAACACATATTCTTTTTACATTTATTTTTCTCTGCTGCCACACATGCTTGCAATATGCAGGAACGCAAAAACCTCAGACACAACCATCTTCCTCCACCCCTCTGCAAACCTACTTTATTTCAGCATTCTCACCAGTATTACGATACAGAAACCTGAGTTAGTACAGGAAAAATATAGGAAAATATAAAGAAAAGAATCTGGGAGCTGACAAGACACAAGGAAGAGTACTTATAAATGGTGTACTGGCAGGTGATGCCAAGAAGCATCAGGTGGTCACGATTTTCTTTTTTTTTTTTTTTTGAACCAGAAGGTCATTTTAAAACTAGGGCATAGTGCCAGTCTAGGGTTAGGTAAGGTATCTCTTTGAAACATACCGGAGAGAGCACTTCCAATCCTCTGCAGAGAAATAATTCACATGTAGTAACAAGGAAAGATAGAGAAAAACACCTCCTTAGAAAGTTTAACAAGGTGTTTGCATGATTACTGAACTGTGTGGATTGAGTATAACTACAACCTTTATTTTAAAAATATCGTGCAGCATAGCTTTTATTTCCCTTTTTGGTAACATTTCTGCAGTGATATTACCCATGCAGAATGATCCGTTAACAGTGTTGTCTGTACAGGCTCTTCCTACTTGCTCTGCATACCAGAGATTAGGGGTACTTTAATATAAAGGCTTGTGCATTATGTGCTTGTTTGTGCCCTTCGCGTTCCCTTCTTCATGTATTCAGCCAAAGTTTGGAAAGTTACACAAATCCTTGTAAGAATTTGTGGTTTTAAAGTTTGTTCTTTTTTTTTAAATTCTGAGAACTTTGAAAAAATGCTAATAAAGTATATAAAAGTTTTACAGTTAGATTCAGATATGTGTGTAACAAACTTACTATTATTTTCATCATCTACTCTGGTAAGCAGAGCAACTAAATTGGTCACACGGTAGCAAAAGTTTACTTACATTAAGGAAGGATGGTATGCTGATTGTGTGCAAGATTTTCTTAAATGTGCTCGGAAAAGCTCCAAGATCTGTTTCTGCCTTTATGACCCGTTCTTCCAGTCCAGCTACACAATTTCCAATCATCTTCACAAAAGCCTGGTGTGCAAAAAACGAAAGAAATCCAACTTTTTCACTAGAAAATTAGAACAGGATTATGTATTGCACGACAGTGGTAAAAGCTCCATTACTTAAATAAGGAGTCAAAAACTTGATGCTCTATTTCCCTTCTACTGAAAAGTCCATTTTATTGCTAAAAATTACTTGAGATACTTAAAAGGCTGAAAAAAAAACCAGGTTAAATCTAATAAAACAGTCTTCCTTTTCCTATTTGACTTTCAACTAACTAATTTAGACTTCTTAGAACCTAGACTTCTATCTGCCTTTCTACTAAAAGTGGGACCAAGGATCTGAATCACAGTTTTGAAGCTTTACCAGGGATCAACAGACCTCTCATTCTACTAGTCTCTGAGTATCTCCCCAGACAATAACTTTGAAAAACACTATAAAAAAAACACCCTCCCCAAAAACTCCCACAAAAACAAAAGAAGAAAAAGTGGTGCTATTGCTTTCTGAAAAAAAAAAAAAAAAAATGCTTGCCTTGCTTCAAGCAGTAAATAAAAATAGACTTTTTAATTTTTTTACACACACACACACACACACACACACACACAGAATTACAGTGTATCATCAATTCTCCGCCCCCCCCCGGTTAAGAAACGGAATACATCTAAAAGATATCAAATACATACCTCTAGTTTGTCAATCTTCCTGTATATCTGTCTCATTTCTGTAGCTTTTGTGTAAATCTGAGGTATACTTTCATTGACAACTTGAGAGGAATCACTTCGAATCTAAAGATGATTCAAATTCAAAAACTGATGACTAAAATAAAATGCGTAGTAGATATTATTCTGGAAACTAGAGCTGTGCTCCAACTAACAGATCAAAACTTGTCGTTTAAAAACATCAGATTAATATTAGTATAAAAATATTAGATTAAAACTAACAAGGTAGCTTCTGTATATAGTTTAGTTGGTGCCTTTGAAGAAAATTTACTTTGCATAGGCAAATACTTAGCTTTATAATTATATAAAGGCTACAGCCTTATTAGAACTCAGAGATGGAACATTTCCTGAGACAGACTGAAGAATCAAATATATTAAACTAAAATTTTACTTAAATTTTACTTAAATTTGACTACCCGTACATTTCCTCAGCATAAAGTCAGGCCATAAAATCTTGTTTTATTGGTATAAAACCAATAAAATAGTAATGTTCCCCTTAAAGTAGTGCAGAAGAACTACTTGTGCTATGCTTTAAAAGACAGGCTTGTATACCAGTGTCAGCTTATAGGAACTTTCCATTCGGTCCCTCCCTGTCCCCCCCATGTGAAAGTGAAAACAAAGCTGCCTTTCTGTTTAAAGGGTAAGAAAGGGTCCCCTAAAGCCAAATCTAGTTTTGGAGGTCTGGCAACTCTGATTAGATACTCTGATTGCAAAAGCCACGGAGAACGCCTTTACGTATTTTAAAGGAGAAACAAAACAGCATACATTTTTTTTAAATATGTCATTGTGCCACTAAGAATGGGATTCCGTGTACGCACATGGACAAGTATACAAATGCAATTATGCAGTTGGACAGCTATATGGGCATATTTTGCTCAAATATGAAAAGTTTGGTAGTTTTCATCCATGAGTTACCCAATTATCGAACTGAGTTATCTAATTAGCAAGCGTGTTTTCATACTGGGACGTGCCTAGACCGAAGGCTGCTTCCTACCTCCGTCTCATTTAAAAACACAAACAGAGGCTGAACCGTACGCCGGCTTCAGAACCACAACTACAGGCGCGCTGTACGCACCATGTCCAGCATTCCCACAAATTCATCCACTCTGGTCAGCAAATCCTCCAGGCTCTTGTCTAAGCTTTCTATCTGCAAAACAGAAATCCTTTAAAGGTGCGTGGAAGCGCACAAACCTCCCCCAGGATCCTCCCGAAGGCTGCAGACACACACCCCCCCACACCCCACACCCCCCCCAGCCGGGCCGCCCCGCTCCACAGAGCCGCCGCGGCCCGGCACCGCCGGCCGCTCACCTGCTCGCTGAAGAGGCTGCGGTCGGCGAGCAGGTAGGCGGAATAGGCGGCGGCGGTGGCGCCGAGCGACGCCTCCGAGGCCTCCTCGTCCTCCGGCTGGCCGAGGCCGGAGGCGCGGCTGTGGCTCTGCGAGACGTTCCCGCTGTCCGTTCCCGGCAGCTCGGTCCCGGCCCCCGCGGCCGCCGCCATGCTGCCTCTGCCGCACCCCCCCCCCGCCCCTTCCCGGGCAGCGGGGCGGAGCCGGCGCAGGCGCACTGGCCTGGAGCGGCCCGGGTCTGCCACCTCCCCCCCCCCCCCCCGCCGCCAGCGCCAGGGGAGGCCGGGGACCGAGCGCTGACGGAGGTTTTGCCTTCTAAAGGGGGCTGATGCGCCTGTGTTCCCTCAGCCACCCACCGTTAAAGCCCCGTTCAACAATTTAATCCCATCCCCGAAGGGGCCTCCGTACCTGAAAGCGGTACGGCTCGGTCGTGTTGCCACACCGAGGTTTCTGCTGGTAACAGCCCGAACTGGGGAGTTCATCTTAAAAAGACGAGTGTAAGGCGAGTCCAGGTATCAGTATGGTGCATGAAAAAAAGAAAAAAAAAAAAAGAGGAGCTCGCCTTTCTGTGGTTTCCTAGTCGATGCAAATCAGCACAAAATGGCTGCAAGCCTTTAAAGTTACTTGGCAGTGGTGGCTGTAAAGCCGACACATCAATACTTGTTTGTTTTCAGCTTGTAGTTGGTCTTGGGCACAATACTTTCATGGCCCCATGTGAAACGCACTTTACACTTCCTACCTCTCGGGCTGACCGAGTTGGCAGCGTTCGGACACTCTGGACGGGCCCGCGCTCTGCAGCCAGGCCCCGCGGCAGCACGCAGGCCCTGGCGCCCACAGCCACCGCCGAGGAGCCAGAACCACCCCAGCTCCGCACAGCCACGAGCTTCGAAGCTGTGCTACAGGGAGCACAGCAGGCTACTCGGCTCCCAGGGGAATCAGTGTAACAGTACCCTTTAGTAAAAGCAGTACTGGGAAAAAATATTATGGAAGGAAACTTGGAATCACCACCCACAACCAGAGGAACTGAAGTCTGTACTGGTACAGAGAAAAGCGTTACTAGAACAGTTACATATTCAGAGAGCCATCAAAACCAAGTATCTTGTTTCCACAGGGAATGGAGATACTTCCACGGAAAGATGTGTTGAGCACAGGGGAAAGGATATAGCGTAGAAGTAAGACAGTGCACATTTTATTGCAAACAGGTCACATTTTCATCAGTTAAATAAGGTAAAATCAGTAACTTCAGCCAGACAAATCCACTTATTCATAAAAGTAGTCTTATTTAAGATGTAACAAAATGTTCCTGATAAGATGGTCTGATTGACTGAAGCACATTCAGCTATTAATTTTTTTCACGGCACCAATAATCGGATTTAAAAAAAAAAAAAAAGAAAACCTTTGGTAAAGTACAGACACAGTTTTAAGACGAACAGGACCAATGTTCTGTTCTTACTGTGCTGAGAAGAATAAGTACAGCTCTATAACTGCTGTGATACCTAGAAGAGGTTTAATTAAAGTGAAAGAATTTTAAAATAAACTTTTAAAGCAAATCTAAAAGAAAGAAGCTAAGTTCAATGTCCCAAACATATTTAACAATGAGCAGAAGATTGGTTGTTCCACAGGTATTCTAAATTAGCAACAGTGAATTAGTCTGTACATCCCCTGTCCAGCCATTACAGATTCCAAAATGGAATCTAAGTTTTTCAAACCAAGACTTCTGAATTTTCATACCCATACAATATTTAAGAAATGTCTATTCCACCATATAAAAAGCTTTAATGTACTACAAAGTTTAAAACAAAAAGAAAACAACACAAGCTAAAAGTAGAAAAATACATTGTAAAACATTTATATTTTGTTCCTTACACTGATGAAGATATAACAAAATATTTTAGGTTAGACCACTTTCATAAATTCATGGTATTTTTGGAAGCAGTTATTGACTCAGTCACTGGCTACCCACTAGCCAGCATCCAGTAATGACGTCTGACCATCTCAAACATCCAGTATATTTTAGGTTTCTAGAAATCCTGTGTAGACATTAAGCTTTATTACTGGAAGAGTCCAAAAATAACAGAACTATTCTAAGTTAGGTTTGACAGTCAGTCAACATCCCTCCTCTGTATAGCAATCAGCCAATCTTTTGTAAGGAAAGACTGTGTGGATTGAAGTTGCCTCAAAGGTACAGCTTGTGGCAGCTCTGAGGTGAAGGGGACAGTCCTAGCACGCTCTTCTACTTTTGCTGCCTTCTCTTGCATCCCTAAAATTCACATGAGCCATGATATTGAAAAAACAGAGGTGATGGGAGAAAGAGGTATTAGCTAATAAATATCAAAAAAGAATACATTTACACATAATGGTGCTGAACCTAGTTTTAAGCCCTTATTGTCATGTTTTCTTCTCCCCATGCAGCACGGGTCCGCACCGCAGGCAGGCCTGCCTCTGACCAGCAGGTGGTGGTGAGCTCACAGCAATAGCGGCAACAGCCTCCGACTTTGCCTCCTCAGGCTCTTAAAAATATATGTATCTCTATCTATCTATAGTTTCGTTTGGAAAATGTATTTGCAGCATCTCCCTAACGTTGTTACCACCAGAGTAGGAAACGGTTACTTTTACAGAGCTTGTCTGGATTAGACATAAGGTTGCAAGTACGGTGTAAACAAGTTAGTGGAAGGTCTGTATGTAACGGGAGAAGATCATCAGATGGTATTAAGAAACACTCTCTTTAAACTGGTATTAGAAGAAAACCAGATTCCACTTCAAATAGACATGTCTGTTACTATTAAAATCTAATTCATATACATGCATGTATAAATACATCCACCCATGCATTCAAACCCAAGTATGTAGCACTGCCATTGGTAGCCTGTCAGACTGCTTAGACTTATACCAACTAAACCAAATTTGCCTTCTCACTTTAGGGCTGGGACATAAACCAGGTTTTACACGCTGGCTTTCTCCTGACAAATTTTGCAGTGCACGACAGTTTTATGTCTAACTGCAGATGCCACGTTTCCTAGAAAACAACAATTTTTTGCACCCGTGAGGTCTATTAGAATATCAGCTCTCTGTGCATAACACACTGCAAGAGTCAATTGTCCCAATTGGCACTTAAGACTGAAAGGAGAGTTGCAGGAATTGCTCCTAAAGTGTAATGACTGTTCCATCCTCCTCGATACCTCCTCTGGGGATAACCAGACTGTGTCGGGGATCAGTTTTTAAGGAACTGAGTAATTTGTGGATGTTGCCGTTGCTTTCTCGGCCAGAGTTGTTGTTGAGCACCAGGTCCCTTTGAAGTCTGTGGCTAAGGCTGCTGCCATTGATTCGAGAGAGGCTATTGGAAGTAAGGCTGTGCAGTTTAGGAATGTGCTGTGGCTCCAGACCGCCCTCGATGACAATGTCTGCCTCTTCATCACTCTCCATTTCATCAGGGTGGAAGTTCTGCAGCACGTGGGACGTAGGCAAGCTATGGTGACTTGCAGTGCTGTCTGTAGACTGGCCAGAGCTACCAGACATCCTACTGCTTCGAATAATATTGTTCCTCTGGTTTGCTGGCTTGACCGTGATAATAAGATTATGGCTATTGGCAATCATCATGTCTGTGACTTGGTCAAGAGTCTTTCCTGCTACTTCAATGCCATTAACTTCCAGGACTTCATCATTCACAGCCAGCAAGCCTGTGCTCTCTGCTAAGCCTCCAGGAACCATACGAGAGATGAAGATACCGGGTACTTTTTCTAGTCCGTGAGGAGTAACTCTTACGCTGGTGCCATCGCGAATGTAAAATCCTAAGGGTTTCTCACACCCGTGTCGATACAGCCTCACTCTCCTGTGTGTTTCAGGGAGAATGTCCACATCGATTATGGAAGACACTGGTCTAAAATCATGAGGCATGCTAATGTTAATGTGAGGACGCCGGCGGAGGTTGTCATTGCGGAGTGTCACCAGGGCCTTCTTCTTCCTCGATAGTGTGTTGGTCCCAAAATTACTGTAGTCCACTTCATCTGAAAGAGAAACAGTACCAAGGGATAAATCAAACAGAGAATAATTCTATCTACAAGGCATTTTCCTCTTAAATCTGGTTCAGTGAAGCCACACTCCTAATAACATGGAAAAAAAGCAGATGAATTCTTCCACTTACTCTAACCTTTGTTTCATTTTATGTCCATCAGCACATCATTCAGAATGAATGAGTCGTCTTCAATGACTACCCATATTCCTTCCATATTTTGAGGGCAAGATACTTCTGATTCTCAACTCCTATTGTCAGCTGTGCAGAATGCAATTACTTGCAGCTGCAGGCCTGATGCGAGACCCTTATTTTCAGAGTTGGACTGTAATTTTACACATACATCTCAAACGGGCAAGGAATATATACACATTCCTAACCTAAAAGTCTAAACCAGGGAGTATTTTAATATCCAATACACAGCCTTAACTGATAGCAGACCTTAGGCACAAACATGAAAGCGAGGTGTGAAAGAGTAGTTGGATATGTGATTTTAGCCTAGCCTTACTAAGAAAGGGATTTATGTTAATATGTATCTCTCAGGGATTTATGTTAATATGTATCTCTCAGTACAGCACTTTTCTATTTGGAATATTTTACTTCATTTCAGCTGCAGTTGACAGCAATAAAAAATGCTAAAAAGTGTCAAGTACCAAAAAAGTTCTGTGTAAGAAAGCAGCCTGGTAGAAAGAAACTGCTCTGCTGCCGAGTCCATATGCTAAGGATCACAGAACAGACACGGACTCACACACGTGCTCCTGTCCTTGAGAGGAAGATCTACAGGAAAGCAGCCTTTCTAGGGTCTACTCTTTAAGGAATTGTTTAAATATTTCAGTCTCTGTAGCAGTATCTTAAGGGCATGTGCAAAGTGATTAGCTTTAAATCAGCCAAGTGATATGACGAGTTATACCATATAAGATCATCATGTTGTGCTTTGCATAAGGAATACTTAGTCATGAAGTTGTTAGCATACAAAATGCGCCACTGCATTTCACATTAAAAATACTGTGCATATTTTAAACATGAAGCATGCACTAGTTGGAAAATTATTTCACTCTGAGTTTAAGCATGCTAACGCTTTTCAGATAAACTAACAGAGTTTCACTTTAATTCTACTAGTGAAGATGAGGAGTAAAATATGAAAGTACAATTATAGGACT